AAAATGTACAACATAGCAATAAAGAAATATAGTACAATGAAAATTTCGGTTCCTTGCGAAACTTCGTCGTTCTTTCCCAGCCGTCCTGGAAAAGAGGAAAAATAAAACGTGTGAGTGCATGTCGAAAATACACTCGTACTTGCGTAAGGACACAAGATGAGCGGAAAAAGAAATAAACTAATACACTTACAAACAGCGTAAAAGCGATCAGGAAAATAGTGTTTTTTTTACATATATAAAAAATATATATATACGCTCAAAAAAAGATAAAAATGTTTTGTTTTTTTGGTGTTTTTATATAAATAAAAAATTATCATATTAAAAAAAAATTTTTTTTATAATGAACTATGGAAGGGTAATTCAAGATAAAGCTTATGTCCTACGTGCAATATTCGTTAAGATGTTCTGGAAATCTTACTCGTCTTCCAGAACGCGTTGTTTTAGGTTTATCTATCGACGTTGACGAAGTATCAAGTTGTGTGCCGGTTGTCGTGTATGGTACTACGAGTGTAGTGGCTGTGTCGTTTGCTTGTACCGAAGGAAAATCGACGTAGCTAGGGTTTCCTTCTAAGTACGCTGCTTTGAGTCGATCGATACTGATGCTATCGTTCGTACCGTTCTTATCCACTACATAGTACTTAGGTTCGCGTTGAAGAACTTTGAAGGGTCCTTCGTATGCTGATTCGAGGGGTCGTCGATGTGAGTCTCGACGAACGAAAACGTGTGTACTATGTCGTAATTCGGGTTGAACGAAAACATCAGTTGATTGAGGTAGAGTGTGAGCAGGTTTAACTGAACGCATAGCGTTTGTAAGCCTACTTGTGTATGAGTTTAGATCCATGTTCAATGAAGAAGCCGAATGATCCAAGAATTCTCCTGGAAGTCGGAGTGTCGTTCCGTAAACGTGTTGAGATGCCGTGTATCCAATGTCAGCTTTCACTGCATTGCGGATACCTAGCAAGACGAGTGGAAGAGCGTCTGTCCACTGTGAAATGTTTGAAGCTGATAATGAAGCTTTTAGTTGACAATGAAAACGTTCTACCAACCCGTTTGCTTGTGGGTGGTAGGCGGTCGTTCGGAAGCGCGTGATTCCTAATAGTGTGGTCAGACAACGGAAAAGTCCAGATTCGAACTGGCGTCCGCGGTCTGTAGTGATGGTTGAGGGGCAACCAAAATTTGCTACCCATCGTTCGACGAAAGCGCGAGCCACTGTTTCAGCAGTAATGTCCTTAATCGGTACGGCTTCTGGCCATCGAGTAAAACGGTCTACGCATGTTAGGAGATATGAATATCCATTCGAGTCGGGTAATGGTCCTACAAAATCTAGATGGACGTGGTCGAAACGAGCGTCAGGGATTTTGAAAGAACCTAAGGGACATTTGTTGTGTCTGATTACCTTAGATTTCTGACAGCTTACACGGGAGCGTGCCCACTCCCTCACGTCTTTATTCATGCCAGGCCAACAAAAGCGTTCGGCTAAAAGTTTGACAGTTGCAGGAGCACCTGGATGAGAAAGATTGTGCAACGTATTGAAGACGTTGCGGCGATAATGTTTTGGTACTATTGGACGATCCCTACCTGTAGATGTGTCACAGAGTAAGGTTTCCTTGCCTGTTCCCATCTGCTTAATACTTGGTTTTAGAGTTGTCGAGGATAACTCATGCTGAAGATCAATGTCTTCTTTTTGAAGCTGAGCGAGTTTAAGAAGGTCGATTCCTTGGAAACTGTTCAAGGAACTTATTCGAGAGAAGGCGTCTGCGACTACATTGTTAGCTCCACAAATATGTTGTATGTCTGAAGTAAACTGCGAAATGTAGTCGAGTTGTCGAGACTCTCGCGGTGAGTACTTGTCTGAAGATGAACTTAAGGAGAAGGTAAGAGGTTTGTTATCGGTAAAAAGCGTGAATTCTCTTCCTTCGATGGAATGTTGGAAATGCCGTACAGCACAATACATAGCTAGGAGTTCCCTACCGAACGTGCTGTACCTAGATTCAGCGTCTAGCAACCGTCTCGAGAAAAATCCTAAAGGTTGCCGCAAGTTGTTAACCCATTGTTGTAAGACTCCTCCGATTGCTGAGTCGAATGCGTCTACGGCGATACTAATGGGCGCTTGAGTGTCCTGATGAGCAAGCAAGGTTGCTTTAGCGATGTGTTCCTTAACTGTGGAAAATGCTTTGCGGGCTATGTCATCTAAACTAATTGATTTCGTATTTCCACGAAGCTGATCGGTTAACGGTTTCATAAGGGATGCGCATTTGGGTATGAACCGTCTATAGAAACTTACAAGTCCGTTGAAAGTTCGTAAGTGCTTGATCGTGGTCGGTTCTGGGTAATCCAGAATGGCCGCCACTTTGCTCCTAAGGGGTCGGATGCCTTGGGCATCAATGGTGTGTCCTAGGAAGTCTAAGGAGTTTGCTCCGATTTGGCATTTCTGAATGTTGACAGTAATGCCATGCCTTTGAAGTCGATCGAAAACAATGTCCAGATGCTTGAGATGCGATTCTCTGTCCGGACTTTCTATTAGACAGTCATCAACATACGCATGTACGAAGTTGAGACCTCGGAAGACGTCGTCTATAAACCTTTGGAAGGTTTGAGCCGCGTTTCTTAAACCAAAAGGCATTCGTGGAAATTCGTAAAGACCGAAGGGAGTGATGATGGCGGTTTTAGGAATGTCGTCAGGTGCCATCGGTATTTGGTTATAAGCTTTAACCAAGTCGATTTTCGAAAAGACAGTTGTACCTTTCAAGGTAGCTGTCAAATCGTGAATATGAGGCAGCGGGTAACGATCGGGAAGGGTTTTAGCATTTAGACGCCGATAATCACCAGTTGGCCGCCAATCATTGCTGTCCTTTTTAGGGACCATGTGCAATGGGGATGCCCATGGACTATTCGATGGTCGAATTATCCCTAGGTCCATCATGTGGTCGAATTCGTTTTTAGCTAACTTAAGCTTCTCGGGAGCGAGTATTTGAGCTTTCGAAAATACAGGTGGTCCTGTAGTCGTGATGTGTAACATTGCTGGTTACACAAGGCAATTTCGATTGTGATTGGTGTATCCCGGGGTATTTGTCGAGTACTGATTGGTACGCGAGGTCTATGGTGTGCTTAATCGTGACTGGGGATAACCTGCAACCAGATCAAGGAGTTACGCAAACGGATAACTTAGTGTTTCCGTCTATTAACTTTCGTGAGCGTGCGTCGATGAGTAGATTGTGGTGTTGTAACAGGTCTATACCAATGATTGGCATAGAGACATCTGCAACCACGAAAACCCAGTGTATGGGTTTGCGTAAACCCACGTTAAGGTAGACGTACCTTTTACCGTAAGTAGCGATCGGCTTTCCGTTTGCCGCCTGTAAACGCAAAACAGACTCGCGAAGTCTGTCGTCGGGATTTACTGGAAGAACGCTAACTTCTGCGCCAGTGTCGACGAGGTAGCGAACTTTCGTAGTCACATCCGTGACATATAAGAGGCGGCTGTGTTCGCCGGCTAAGGTTGCCGTTAACGCGTGCCGGCTAGGAAGTTTCCCGAAATCTTATTCGTGTCAGTCGATTTTGAAGTCGGATAATTGCAAGGTTTCCTGCAATTTTTGGAAAACTTACCGTTCTGGTTATGATACCAGCACCAGTCGGGATTGTATGTCTCTCGTGGTCGAGAGCCAGATCGCTTACGTGAGGCGCTTCTACGCGAGGTTTTTGACCGACTACGGTCATTGCGAACTCTAAGATATCGTGCAAGCGTGTGACATATTTCGGCCATGTCAGTCGAGGTCGATTGAGGTTTTTCTTTGACGGAAAAGACCTCGGCCTTAGAAGATCTAGTGATTTCCAAGATTCGATCGGCAGATGCAGCTAGTTCATCTATGGCATTGTTTTGAAATGAAACAAGCACTGCCTGCACCTGTTGAGGGAGTTTAGACAAGAAAAGTTGTCTAAATAGGCCATCATCGAAAGTTCGTTGGCCGATGACTTCTCTCATTCTAAACAACATGTCCGTCGCAGAACCATGTTGCAAGTCGATGTTATGGAAGAGTTAGTCTAACCGTTGTCGATCAGTTAGGTCTCCTCGTTTTAAAATCGATAGTTTAAGCGTTTCGTAAGCTTCGGGAACATCACTAGTAAACATACTAGGTGTTACGTACCTGTTAAACTCGCTCGGTAACGCCTTAACTACCGCGAGGGAACGTGTGCGCGAGTCCGTGATTCCGCGCATGCAAAAGTTGGCTTCTGCATAGCAAAACCAGGACTCGATATTGTCGGGCCAAAATGGCGTTAACTGAATCGAAATAGGGGGAATAGACTTAAACTTAAGAACCTTAGGAGAGTGTTCCGTCATAGTAATATAGATAACGAAAAATGTCTAATTAAAATATATCCGGGAAAAAAAATCTGCGAAAAAAAGTATATCACAACATATAAAATTCAAATAAAGAATAACAATGAATAATAATATTCCAAAATGGAACAGACTCACAGTATATTGACTTGGTGTACCAGATCACGTCGGGTTCAGCACTGAGGATGCAACGGATGTTCTAATTTTACAACTAGTTACCAGTAGCACCCTCTATGTTCGATCGTTCCCAGTCAGATAGAAATCAGAAGTCAGACGAGAAGAGGCAGGAAAGATATATTTGATTCGTTACCAATATATCGAGGACCTTTTCTATAAGCTGGCTAAATGAAACGTAGGAGCTGTGTCCCACGCCGTGTTGAAACGTGATCTAGTGCAGACGCATGACCGAAAGCCTTCAGCTAAACAAGTCCACTTAAACAACGTGGTCAGCATCCAATGTCGAACACTTAATGAACTATTGATTTTGGGGAATTATTTACAGCTACTCTACGAGCAGCCAGATAACCACCAGAATCACTAGAAATAGTGAGTTAGGGCTTGAAGGTATCGGACTACAGGTTTTTTGAAAGTTCTAGAAACATCTCCTATCACAAAGGAGCGAGCTCAAGGAAAACAATTGATTACTACTAACTTGTCACAAAAAATATTCAACGCACTGTTTGTTAGACAAACATGGCGATCAACTAAGGACTTCTTAGTTCTGTTTACAATTATTTAAATTATCTGTTATAAACTGTTATGGAACTCAATGAAACAAAGTTCAGATTGTCTGGTACATACTAATTGGAACGTTGGACCGTAAGAGCCTATTACAAATATCCGAACTGTCAGCTGATAGCTTTTGGCGTATTTTAAATCAAATGAGCTCATGGGCTGGTATGATCGTTACTTGAATCTGTCTCTAGCGTGTTCTAACACTTAATTTTTACCCTTAGTTACTAGAAGAGATGAAACGCAAGAAGCTGATTATGGATCAATGCATCTGAATGAGACACCCTGTTTATACGTACGTCTACTGAACTTGACAGTAATATTTAGTGATATTAGAATGTCTTTTTATTCCTTTTGTTTCCATTTGAGTGCTTCAACGGACTATTCTAAAGTCGATCTTTACATTGTTATTGTCAAACTACTCCTACCCATTCCGTTAGCTTCCGATTAGACACACAAAAACATGTAAGAGTACAGCTGTGGATATATATCTGGACATGAACTCTAGTTATTAATTTTTGCGTTTGGAACTCACCCCATAAATAGGGGTTCCGGTTGTAATATGGTTTAATTGATACATCTTTCATCCTGATAATGAAACATGTAGTGTCCAGGTTGCATTATACCTTGAATAATATATCAGCCTTAATATTCCCAAGCTCAACATCTTGGTTTTCAGAGACCTGATTTAAATCTCGTTCCTCCAATGAAGTGTGATGTTATTTTGTGGTTAGTTGTTGCTACCTTGACGTGTTTGTTGAGCTTACCTATCGTGATGAACCAATCGGGGTATGCTGGTTGGAACAATCGTTCCTTAAGGTCCTACCATGCCAGGCAGGTCGGTTAAAAGGCGGTAGGATTAAAGCAGCAAACTAAAGGTCCAAAGGCGAAGTCGTGCTGCTGACTTTACAGAGGTGTAACAGCAGTACGGTGTTTCCTCCAGACAACCAGCTTCTGAAGCGATACTGCTTTACCACAAGGAGGGGCGGGGTTAGAAAAGTTCGACCCTAAAAATGCGCACCTCGCCTTGTCCCACGGATGTGCGTCTCCGATGGTAGGGTCTCAAAAAGTACGGAGCTAACACAAAAATTACTTACAAAATGGTCGTGTGGCACTGCGGCCACGCTCTCAGGTCACTAAGACCACCTCTATCGGATTTCCTTTTCAGGTACCTCCAGAATAACTCTCCCACGGTGTGGGCAACTTGGAAGTAATAATGCCTTCATACCTCTAACAGCTCTCAAGACCTAACCTGTATGCCTTTCCAACGTTTATCATCTCACACTTTTGTATCTTCATCTTGAACTATTTCAGTTACTTCATGAAGCAAGTCATGCTTAACTTCATTAACCATGTTTTGTTCATTTAATTGGCGTTACGTTCAACCCATTTTTAGGACAGTAAGCTCGTCCTGTGTAGTAGACCAATTAATTCAGTGATGCAATTCATTAACTAAGTTCAGATGACGTACTCGATTTTAGTCCACAACACGTGAATTTTATTGGTACTATCGAAGTACTCACATTGGAGTAACTTGCATCAAGTTCCAACCTGTGGTCATGTAGTTTAAATTATTGTGCTCCAAGAACTGAGTACCCCACTATCCTAAAGTAATTGAAACAGGGGTTCTGCTAAAGATATAGAATGTAAACCTCATGTCTTAATAGAGACATATACTAACTGTTTGTGAGTTTTCAACGCTCATCCATTCATTGGTGTACTGTAACTGGCGACCCTTTTGTAAATCTTCCTAAAAGACCGTAACTAAATGAAGGTGCGTCAATGTATATGTACTTGTCTGTGTATATAGGACCATAAGTATTATCTTTTATTCATTAATCGAATTCTTGCATCATGTGTATATAGGATTTTAGAATTGGTAGTACTCAGTAATTGCACTATATGGACTGAAAGTATTATTGAATATAAGTATCTGCTTAGTAGAGGACTCCGGCCAGTCGCTTAATAGTATTATAATTCTCTGTTATCTTAAATTGAAAAACCGAATTGATTGGATGAAAGTTACATAATGAGCTTCGCTCATACGGGTTAACTATCGATGGGAGACACATTCGGCATTCTCTGGTATTTACTTCGTACAAAATACAAAAATTTGATTTGATAGCACGACAAATTATCCATTTTCACTATGTGGTTTAGTTATTTCGTGCGGAGAGTATTCGGTTTTCGCAAAGTTAATTTTATCTGATCAAATGTTGAGGTGGGCATCGCTTGTTATTGACCGTAATACAATGAGGAGATATCTTGTTGGACGAAACAGTCAAGCTTCATAGAGGTTCTTAAATTTGGTTCTGTGTAAGACTACTGGCTATCCATCATGTAATCTTTTCAGGAATCTGGTAGTAAATTGTACTGTCGAAGTTCGTTTGGGTTAGGCAAATTTCGCAGGAAACTAAGAGATTTCTCATTACCCTTTATCCCTCAGTGATGAACGTCTGAACACATGAAATATATATTATCATTTGCATTTTAATCTGTCGAATAATTTAGTATCTATAGTTAGCAGTTTTGTTCAGTCTCAAGAGCAACTGTATGTTAAACTTTGCTACATGCGGTTATAACCCTCAGTTTTTTAAAACTGACAGAAAATAATTGTTCGATGTTTTCTCACAAATCGCTTATTCCTCTGAAGGATAACAAAAATATTGTTCATCTCTTCTGTTTTCTAAGGGTTCTATTCCAAATGTGTTTGGAATCGTATTTAGCGAATTCAATGTATAATTCGTTGGAGTTATCAATAAAGATTTGCGGGTACTTTACATCTGTACGAAATATTATATGCATACAATTGTGCAGCAGACGTGATCATACTGAGGTTTTGAACGTACTTTAACTGTTCGGTGAACGCATTTCCTGTAGCATCTGTTGTTAGGTTAAATGTTATTGAGAAAAAGCATAACTTATGCTTTAGTATTTGTTCCTGATTGGATTATTTGTATTTCATTTTATGTGAGCATTATCATAAAAATAAAAAACTGACGTAAGTGAAATTCTTCGCTTGTGACGTAATATGTCTCGTCGCTATCCTCAATATTCGATGTTACACATTTACCATAAAATAATTTGTTATTGGGTAATAAGTTACTAGTCATTTTTTTCATTATGGTAATAACTACTAACGACCTGCTGACTGTTTATTCCGGTGACTAAAGGTATGTCTACATCAAATGATGGGTACGATTCTTCTCATTTTCTATGCAACAGAGTTACATAGAATGACAATTTTGAGAGGGTGTTTGTCATCATTTTTTTGTTTGAACATATAAACATTGGTACAAGGGTTCACCAAATCCATATACACCACACAATAGCAATGAGGTTGTAAAGAAATAGACAATTTAAAGTGTGTATGATAAAAAGTAAGGACAATAAACATAAATCAGTGTATCGGAGTAAAGTAGTAATCATAATGGGAGAAACAGTTCGGTTAAAAAAAATACAACGAGAAAGAATTCATTCAGTTAGAGAAGTTACTTTCAATTTTATGAAGAAAGTAAGAGTTACAGCAGGTTCGCCACTGGCCTCCATTCTGAAACCATATCTGATAGCGTCTCTAGACACTATGTTGCACCATTTCTAGTACCCCAACCACGGATCTGTGAAAGACCAACAAAAGCCAGTCCTATATATCTTTCTTCCATGTCACGACACTATGTCATACATGCACTAACCACCTCCGATTTTTCCAACCAGTTCCAGCGTCGGCAAACAATGCATGGCTTGGAATTCGCTGGGAGGACATTCGTAAGACATGTTCAAGCCACCGAAGTCAGTGTTTCAAGATAATGACACCAATGAAATTATCGTTGCTAGGCCCGAACACGCGATGCCAGACCTCTGCATTATTAACATAGCGTTGCCACTGGATGTCAGCAATTGTTCGGAAACAACGATGATCAAACACAGAGAGTCGTCTAACATCTTCAACTCTGAGAAACCAGGTTTCACAAGCATAGAGCCAAACTGCTCTCACCGACGCGTTGTAGCTCCTACCTTTTTTAGCCAGACTAACATCACGAAAGCGCCAAAGATGGTCCAGATTGGCATAAGCCGCTTTCCGGAAAACTTTACCCATCCTCCAGGACGTCAGTAGATTTTATTGATTTGCATCCTGTCATCTTTACAGATTGTTTCATTCACGCCAGACTTTTTGCTGCCAGTGACTGGGATGAGTTGAAAGAGCTTACCGAAAGCATCTGCTGTTTCTAACTTGTTAGCACTCTCCGACAACTAAACTTATAGGTCCTAACACAAACTTTGCACACTTTCACAACGTAACAGTTGTCGTTTATGGCTAAACTCGCGGTCACCCAAAATAGACAGATATGCGTCGACGGGTTGTAAGAAACCTCTTGAAACTCAGTACTTAGAAGCGGTTCATTTCGCGAAGCCGCCAGAGATTTTACTCACTATTTTCATGGCGTCATGCAAATGCGGCCAATGTTCATCTATACTTTACGGTGAGCTAACATCTAGCCTTGAACCGAGCTTGGTTTGATATGCAACAGAATCTGCAACCAATTTACTGATATCGACCGGTTTGGAGCGATGAGTTTGTTGGCCACTGAAACATAAGGTAAGGTTAACACAAACAAGGGCATGATCAGAGTCTAGATAGGTACTCCGAAAGGAGTGGCAGTCTTGTACACAATCACGCCAGCGGTAACTGATCGCGATGTGATAAGTCGAAGTTCAGGCTTGAGATGCTGAGGGAGGACGCGGGATGCCACGTCTGCGACGACTGTGCCGGTTGGAGAGCGAATTTGTAGTACTTCACTAGAGTCTTGAATACGGGTTTCAGATAGACAACAGACATCGACGTCGAAACTTTGCAAAGACATAGACAACCGTGTCTGTTATCCTATTTACACTAATATGTGAACGTTGAATGAGGCCAGTTTAAATGGTAAATGTGGTTTCAAAAAGACTGGTTTGGTATTCGTAGTCGGCGGTGGCATTCAACTTTCGAGCAGTAAGTGACTTGAGATCGTTTAGATAGAAAAGGGTTTCTACTGTATTCGAGCTGCTGTATAGGTTGAAAAATGAAGGAACACAAAAATGAGGACAAAAGTACGTGGTATAAAAGAAATAAAAACGAATGTTTTCAATATGATTTGTCTAAGGTAGAGTTACAGCTAGAGTAATTTTTTTTCAGTAGTAATTATCATTTGGTTTGCGTGTAGGCTGGGATACTACCCGGGTGCCCAAACCGTAGCAGGTGGTTTTCTTAGGTAGCCACACCCCGGACCTTTAACCTGAACGTCTAATCTACTAGACAGTGGAGCAACGTTAGGAGATGCAATCCCATGTTAGTCCGTGACCAACAATAGGTCTATGCGTCACTTATCCCCTGAGGATCGTGGAGTCCATGTGCACCATTGGTTTGAAATCAGGGTTCTTCAACTCCCCTAGGTGGATCCTCTATATCCATAACTCGGTTTAATCGCCGGACATTCGTTTTTCGTCTTCCCGATTTTGTAAACAAAGCCCACTCCACGAGAAGTCAATGAGCCTGGCCTCCTTGGCAGTGGCTGTATATGCGAGGCTATGCGAAAGCATTTCGAGGTGAAGAGCGGGCTTTTCCCCACCTTCGGCCGTACCAGGCATTAGAGGGTTTAGAAACGCTATTTTACTTTCATCTTAGCAATACTCTCCGCACATAAGGTTTTGTTTTGAAATTATAGTGACGACGTCACCGTTTCAAGTATATTGATTTTCGGGATTTGTTCAGTAGAGTCTGTCGAATAATCTTATTTTCAAGAATTGATATACCCATTCTTCAAACTTTTAAATATTGTGCTGTAACTGGTGTGACTTGCGACTGACATTTTAACATAGTGAAAGCAATGTAGTTCACACTATAATTACTTCATATCTTTCTTTTTGTATTTGTCAGTTGCAAAGGACTTTAAAATACGGCTTCAGCATATTGCACTGACTATTTCCATCCCTGTAACAAAGTTTTCGAAAGTCTGAACAATTAAAGAAAATTAAAAATTCGTGGGTTAAAACGGCCGTACTATTGTTAAGTTACGCCCTTCTGATGATTCATAATGTTTTGCTGAAAACGTATAGACACTGAATGCGATATCATTTACAAGATATACATGTATATTTTGGAGCATACATACTTTTCGGTTGTTAGTGCTCTACTTTATATCTTGTCTAAGGAAGTAATGCCATATCAAGAAATTAAAACATAGACTGACACATATCATTTCATAGATTTATTTTAGTGTTACTATGTTTCTCACTTTCTAAAGTATAAGCCTTACTATAGCCATAATCTGTGGTTGAAGGTCAGGTAGTTTGGCTCAAATTTAGTTACTGGAGAAAAGGATATGAACCCTTCATTTCCTCGTAAATTTCAAACATGGTATTGTTTCATATCTTTTATTTCTTCTAAATTAGGATTTTCATATTCCGTTTTGCACTTCGTCGTGTTATCTGTTTAACTCTATTATTTTTGCAACTCCATCTGTTTGATGGTGTAAAAACTAATAGCATGAATCCATACCCATTTAGTTTAAGTGTCTATTCATATTTATTGTCTGCTAAATTTCAGCTACTATAATCTTAGTACTTATTATTTGATACTTGTCATCAATTTGTATTGTAAGAGGTACTTACATTTTAGTATCCATATTTTGTTTGTGCTTCGCAACAGTTGCTTTCGTTTTGTTAGCCTTATACTCGAAATGCATAAAATGGTCGTTGTAGTTTTAAACAAACAAAAATTATGTCAAACTTCGGGATTAACTGAAACTTACTAAAACTTCAATTTAAATACGGATTTTTTCTCATATGTCAGGCTTATAGTACAATATACTTCTCCATGTCTATTTAGTATCTCTGCAAATCTAAGTTATACTTAAACTAAATTTATACTCAGTATTTTAACATCAGCTATTATTTTAACGAACTTTGAATGTAGTCCTAATCATTTTGAGAATTCAACTACAAATTTGTAAATCATAGTGATTTTCTATCCGATAATGATAACAATCCACTAGGTATGTTATGTAATCAGTTTAATATATGTGATTGTTCACTTTCTGTTGTGCACGTTAACTATAACATACTTCAAGTGTGAATAATCCTCGGTAAACACGTTCTATGATTTCAAATGCTTTGTTTGAAAATGATATCAAAACTTAAGCGTGTGTGGATGTAAGTACTAATCAAGATCGTGTGCCGATTTTATCTAATTTCAGTACTAAATAAGTATTTTGTATTTTACTGCAAATATTTATTCATCTTTGCCCATATGTAGCATTTTCACGTTTTTATTTTTCTCTTGTGTTGAATAACACGCTTTTCATGTTATCAACCTGTTATAACGGTCCTTTTCCTTGTTTACACTAATGGGACATTAATTTACCTTAGATGAATATCTACACTAGATTTCCTCCCAGTGTCTACTCTACAGGACTTCAACATAACTCAGATCAAGACCACGTGATTAACCTGACTACAACGTAAATATATTTCCACACCAAAACCCGACACAATCCAACAACAATGAAAAATCAATCAATAATAATAAATAATAAGGATAGGGGAATACATAACTCATCTGACACCTATCAGACTATCGAAATGTCTGACTAAACAAAACACCAATCATTATCACTCTCTCCCACACATCACAACCTATTATCCCAGTGTATCCATTTTGCCCCCCAGATTACTATTCTCCTTCATACTCTATTATAGTAATTTCTCTTAAAATCTTATGACTAAGATCGCCGTCAGTGTCAGTTATATTCTTTAGCATTCTCCAGTAAGAAGTACTTAATATTATTACAATATATATTCATATTGTTTTAGACCACATGTGCTCTATAACTGTTATATGTGCATACTATAAGGGGATTACTTTTTGCTCATTATTACTTATGATGGTATCACTGCAAGGCATGATTATGGTATATTTCTTGATATGGGTTGATATTCTGAGTGATATTCATTCAGACATATTTGTGTTTTGTTTATTTAACGACTTATGAGGGTATTCTTGAGGATTACAAAGGCTAACTCATAAAGCCTCTCATATTTGTTTCGAACAGCTTAAATATTACTCAGTACTGTCAGACATTTCATTATGGCTCTGAAAAAGCGAAATCATACTTTTTTAGCGTTTGACATCTGGATTTTCTGGTTGTTCTGCTCAGTCCATTGCTACTCGATGGATTGAAAGGAGTTTCGAACTAAATAATCTGACTTTAATGGATTATCAACGACGTATTCAAGAAATTCGACGTTCAGTTCGTCAAGGTATCGATTCAGCAGCAACATGTACAGATGGTGAGTCTCTTTGGATTTATTGTACTAATATATTTATTTCTCAGCATTAATAACTGTTTCAAGAGTTTTTTCACTTGCCATCTACTACTTTTGTTTTAAAACAAGTTTGTCTCTGGAGATTTCAAAACAGAGAATTACTCTTTTTTTTCTTTCAAATGGCGTATTTCTTTGAGAAGTAGGCCTATATATGGCTATTCCAAAATCATCACAAGTTAGCTCAGTATGCGAGAAAATACTTAAGCTTAGATGCTGTTAACTATATTTATAAATTGTTTAATAAAGTTGTCGTTGGTTTGTGTTAAGTTTCTTAACATTTTTTACTCCACGATATCAGATTGGTAAATTCTGAGGTACACTTTATATTTCTCTCACAATGTTTGAAACTGTTAAGCTCCTCAGGACTTTTCTCCTCGTGTGTAAGTGGGATCAGTGTTGGTTGTGACCATTTTTCACCGGAACCATGAGAGAATAGTTTTACTGTTTATCTTCTTAACGTTCAGTGTATACTTTCATCTTTATTTTGAATTTCCTTAAGTGTTTTAGCTTTTTGTTATTTTATGAATGTGAACTGATCTACCATGATCCCCACCAGAACAATTATATTATAATAAAAAGTTAGGTAGGTAAGTTTAATTAGAATAGTTATTTAGTCTTGAAATATTGAACTTACATCACTGCTAATCACATGTATATTTTTGGTAAGTTTGTTCAATGCTATTGAAATGTAGTCCTTAAACTGAAGTACTTAAAAATACTGTATAATTGTTGTTTATGAAGGATTGGATTCGGTAGCAGCGTCGTGTGAGTGGTCTTAACGTTCATCAGCTTGTGATTTGGCATAGTGCAGACCATGATTTAATGTATTACTATCTCAAAACGTTTGCGTCGATAGCTCGGCGACTTTTGTGCTGAGCACTATTCACTATTGCTAGGACTTGACAAAAAACCAGATAGGTAATCAGTGCACGGCATGAGGCTATAGAATAAATGGTATTCATGTTTTGGTTATCATCTGTTGTTTCGTATTTACTTCTCAGATGAGGTCTTAAGGACTGCGATTCTGTAGCTTGAGGCGTTATTGACATGACTCAACACATAGTATTATTGATCCTTACTTAGTTTTTGTTTTTGTATTATTCACAAACGGTGTATATTTAAAATGAACAAAGATTATCTTGTGTTCCTACTGGAACAGTATCTTTTAACTTACGTTACCCTTGTTTTAATGCAAGACTCCCTCACTATTTTAATAACGCTATCATTTTCCTTCACATAACATGCGTCTATTTGTATGTAAAAAAACGATTTTCGTTCTGTAAAAATAGTAAAGTTATTAATATCATTGGAGAGGAGTCTGAGAGCATAGGTTTATATGTTTAGGAATATCTGTAAATTATGACATGAATGTCGTGTTTTAAATTTTTGTGATGACGGTGGAGTGCAATAAAGTCGTAGATATTCCCTACAGTCTCTACCTTCATCAAAAGACAAAGTTCTAGTTGGAAAATATCGATTTTTTATTCAATCTTTCTGGATATATTTTGGAGGAATCTGCGGCTGAAGTATCCTCTATGATAGCCGAAAAGTAATTCTTTGGAGTCAATTTAGCCATATATAATTTGACGTAGAAACGTGATGGAATCCGGTTATTACAGAAATCAGACTATGGTTTTTCTAATGAGGTCTCTAATCGAGATTCCGGTGCATCTATCGTGTTTTCATAGGTTATAGTAGTTTGTATTTACCTGCCAATGTACAGATTTTATCACTTCAATTTTGTTCTCGTTGATGATGTATTTTATTCTCATATTAGACAAGAGGATTAGTTAGCTATTAATAATATATTTTTATTTCGATTTTCCAGGTATTATTCATGCATTAAAGCAATTAATTAATAGCGGATGGCTTAACAGTCGATGGAATTTAATCAGTGTTGATTGTGATCACTTTGCATCGGAACCATGGGAAAAAAATTTTGCTTGTTGTTATCGCAATGCTCAGTGTATACTTTCATCTTTATTTCGGATTCCTGAGTTTAGAAAACGTCTTTTTGGATGTGAGTTTATACATCCAATGAAGATTTCTGATAGGACGATTAAGCAAATATGTGTGCTAAGAATAAATATATAAAATGTCTGAACCACCTGTTGTATATAGCTATCTTACTTACTTACTTACTTACGCCTGTTACCCCTCGTCGAGGAGCATAGGCCGCTCACCAGCATTCTCCATCCAACTCTGTCCTGAGCCTTCCTTTCCAGTTCTTTCCAGTTGCTATTCATCCTTTTCATATCGGCTTCTATTTCCCGGCGTAGTGTGTTCTTTGGCCTTCCTCTTTTCCGCTTCCCTTCCGGATTCCAAGTTAGGGATTGAGTCGTGATGCACATTGGTGATTTCCTTAATGTATGTCCGATCCACTTCCAACGTCTTTTCCTTATTTCCTCTTCAGCTGGAAGTTGGTTTGTCCTCTCCCATAAAACGCTGTTGCTGATAGTATCCGGCCAATGGATGTTGAGTATTTTGCGTAGACAACTGTTTATAAATACTTGTACCTTCCTGATGATGGCCGTAGTAGTTCTCCACGTTTCAGCTCCATACAGTAGGACTGTCTTGACGTTCGTATTGAAGATTCTGACCTTGAAATTGGTTGAGAGTTGTTTTGAGTTCCATATGTTCTGCAATTGTAGAAATGCTGCCCTTGCTTTGCCAATCCTTGCCTTTACATCTGCATCCGATCCTCCTTGTTTATCAACGATGCTCCCCAGGTACTTGAATGTTTCCACCTCTTCCAGAGTTTCGCCATCAAGTGTGATTGGGTCGGTGTTCTCCGTGTTGCATTTGAGAATCTTGCTTTTTCCTTTGTGAATGTGGAGGCCTATCGATGCGGAGGCTGCTGCTACATTTGCTGTCTTCATCTGCATTTGGTCGTGTGTATGAGAGAGGAGGGCTAGGTCATCTGCGAAGTCCAAATCACCTAATTGATTCTGAGAAGTCCATTGTATTCCGTATTTCCCTTCGGATGTCGAATTCGTCATAATCCAGTCAATCACTAGAAGGAAGAGAAATGGGGAGAGTAGACAGCCTTGTCTGACTCCGGTCCTTACTGGAAATGCATCTGTCAGCTGTCCTCCATGCACCACTTTGCACTGTAATCCATCGTATGAGTTTTGGATAATGTTGACGATCTTCTGAGGAACTCCATAGTGTCGAAGAAGTTTCCACAATGTTCTCCTATCCACGCTGTCAAACGCCTTCTCATAGTCGATGAAGTTGACGTATAGTGATGAGTTCCACTCAACTGATTGTTCAACGACGATCCGTAGTGTTGCAATCTGGTCTGTGCACGACCGACCCTTACGGAATCCAGCCTGATGATCCCTAAGTTCGGCGTCTACTGCGTCTTTCATCCGATTCAGCAGCACTCTGTTGAAAACTTTTCCTGGTACTGATAACAAACTGATGCCTCTGTAGTTCTCACATTGGCTCAGATCTCCTTTCTTTGGTATCTTGATGAGATATCCTTCTTTCCAGTCCGTTGGCACTTGTTCCTCTTCCCAAATCTTTTTGAATAGAAGGTGAAGCATGTTTGCAGTTATTTCAATGTCTGACTTCAGTGCTTCTGCTGGTATATTGTCAGGTCGTGCCGCCTTCCCACTTTTGATTTGTCTGATGTCCATCTTGACTTCTTCGATCGTTGGTGGAGTGACATCTATTGGAAGGTCTGTGTGGGCTGCTTCGATGTTCGGTGGATTCAATGGGGCTGGTCTATTCAGCAGTTCCTCGAAGTATTCTGCCCATCATTTCCTCTGTTCTTGAATCTCAGTGATTGTCTTTCCTTCTTTGTCTTTGACTGGTCTCTCTGGTTTGCTATATCTCCCTGCCAATTTCTTCGTTGTATCATATAGTTGTTTCATATTCCCTTCTCTTGCAGCTTTTTCCGCCGCCGTTGCTAGTTCTCCCATGTATTTCTGCTTGTCGGCTTTAATGCTTTTCTTCACTTCTCTGTTTGCTTCTGCGTAGTCTGCTTGTGCTTTGACTTTCTCTGATCGTGTTCGGCTGTTGTTAATTGCTAGTTTCTTGTTCTTCCTTTCTTGAAGTTTGTCCAGGGTCCCCATAGAGATCCATTCCTTGTGATGGTGCTTCTTAGGACCAAGAACCTCCTGACACGTTGAAGTTAGTGCTTCTTTTATCCCTTTCCAGTTGTCCTCCAAAGTAGTTTCTTGTTCTTTCAGTAGATCCTGTAGAGCTTGGAACCTGTTGTTGAGAGTTATCTTGAATTCATGGAGTTTGTCAGTATCTCGAAGGAAGGCTGTATTAAACCTTTGTAGTGCTGTTTGTCCAGTTGTCCAGTCTTTCTTTAGCTTCAGTCTCATCTTGGCCACAACCAGGTGGTGATCTGAAGCTATGTCAGCTCCTCTCCGGGTTCTCACATCTTCCATTGATCTTCGGAATATTTTGTTGATACAGATGTGATCAATCTGGTTCTCTGTGGTGTGGTCCGGTGAGATACATGTAGCTGGGTGTATGCGTTTGTGTGGGAATATTGTGCCGCCTATAACCAATTTGTTGAAAGCACATAGGTTTGTAAGTCTCTCCCCATTTTCATTTCTCTCTCCTAGTCCATGTCGTCCAATTACATCTTCATATCCTGTGTTGTCCACTCCAACTTTAGCATTTAGATCTCCCATCAGGATGGTGAGGTCCTTTCGTGAGCACTTTGCTATAATTGATTGCAGCCTTTCATAGAACTGATCTTTATCATCGTCGTTGCTATCATTGGTGGGTGCATAACATTGGATAACATTCATTGTGATCCCTTGCTTCTTTGTTCTGAATGATGCTTTGATTATCCTGGGTCCATGAGATTCCCATCCCACAAGTGCATTTCGTGCTTCTCTGGACAGCATTAGAGCAACTCCCTGAGTGTGTGGCGCATTTTCCCCTTCGTGACCGGAGTACAGCAGCATCTCTCCTGTACCTAGCCTTTGTTGTCCAGTTTGTGTCCAATGGGTTTCGCTGATTCCGAGTACTGCCAAGTTGTATCTCCGCATTTCCATTGCTATTTGGCTGGTCTTTCCTGTTTCCCACATTGTCCGGACGTTCCATGTACCTATAAAGAGTGTTGCTCTGGTTGTTAGAAGGTGCATCGGTCTCGTGACTTCCGAAGAATTTCGGCTTTCATCATGAGACGTCATTATTCCTTCAACTCCCAGGGCAGAGTTTAAATGGTTTGGATTATTTTTTCTGGTTAGCGTTTTTTTAGCGAGTTAGCTTTTCTACGGGATGGGGTCGCTAACCCCATGCCCAACCCTCCTCCTTTACCCGGGCTTGGGACCGGCAGTAACTCTAGAAGAGCTACAGGCGGAGTTATATAGCTATCTTACTTTGGTTATAAAGTAACCCTGAAAAGCTATTTGGTGAAATAGCTTTTGCTATATAATTGCAAATAAATTTAATTATTTAAAGTAAATACGTTTGTAGCATGCATTCTAGTATCGTATGAACAACTAAACATACTAGAATATATGTATAAGATAATAATTATTGCTTTGTTAACTGTTCGAGTGCACAAAAATAGGACTAAGGAGAAAGCATTATTCCTGTTTTTTTGTATTAACACTTATTGGATTTCAGGTTTTTATTACCTTACAGTATGAACCAGTTACCAGGAGTTTTGTCGTTTGTTTGTGTTTAATTTTATTTTAAATTCATATATGTTCCTCAACATCCATTCACTACTATCTGATGTTCGCACGAACCTGATGACGCACATACTTGACGGGGTCACGCTACTTACTTGTAGGTCTTTTGGGAGCTGTAACGTAACTGTTTCAACTCTAACCTTATCAAATAAGTCATAGGTTTTAACCTCGTTCCATTTACAAAAATTTAGCACTAGGATAGTTAAGTCCATGAACTTAGACTTTATTATTGACCGGTATCTAGAATGTCCCATAACTTCTTTTACCTATTTTTTATGGGCCTCAAAAGTTTTATCTTGTTAATTTTCTGCTTTGTAGCTGTGTCGGCAATGCCATCCATATGGAAACTACAAGCTCTTTTAGAGTCTGCTTGGTCTCTTGGTTTTGATCCACTTGGTGCATCCCAGATATCGTCAACGATCAATCCAAATAAAATTTCATCTGGTGCCAATCCTACAGGTTCTGATGACATGATTTCTACAGATAGCCGTAATCTCGTTGGAATTGTAGACAGTACGGCATGTCTAGGTGCTACTGATATGGTTTCTCTTTTCGGATCAATAGGAATACGTTCGTCAATCATAGAATGTCGTGCCCCTTCCGGCCCTGGTGGAACTCACCCATAGTAAGGCTTGCATTTTCTTGAAATCTCATGATTGGTAATGCCACATCATTATTGTAATTAAGTAATTATAAATCAAGTCTAATTGCAGTCCAGAAAATTGTTTTTTTTTTGACGGTGATAGCATCTATAGGTGATTTATGGAAGTAAAATCTTTGGTATTCTGTAAATATAATGGAAAGTGAAAATATACATACTATTTGTTTCATATATTTCATTTATTGCCATCGCTTTAAACAAATGCAGTTTCCTGTCTTGCCTGTCTAGATTCTCTGAAAGGTTAGCAATATGAACTAACTCCTGCCGTTATTTTTAGAATATAAGTAGTGTAAAGGAGAAATTAACATTTAATTAAGAATTATTAAAAGTTGGAGGAAGTAGAGTTAACTGTTTTTATTTATCTACTGTTATTGTAAACCGCAAAATCCTTATATTGATTCATGAGTCTGGTTAAATGATATTTAAATGTAATTTTCCGGAGTTTAATATAATGTCTTTACATAATCGGCCTACATCGGACGTAGGTAACTTCTTACTTTGTTAAGTCATTTAAGAAAATTATATTTTTCGTTGAATATATTGCAGTATTTTATCACAATCTCTTGTATTCTGTTAATTTTTCCACTGCTAACATGAAACATTGATACCGTACGAAAACACAGCATGACTCACTTTTCGTTTTCACTTTTTTCTACTATTACAGCCTCTTAACTCATATTTACTCTTATATCACCTCAGGTAATAGTCATGGAATATCGAATGAGGTAAATCTATATCTAAAATTTAATTTAATTTTTATTCATTCATAACAGTAATTTCCATTTCGAAAAGTTCTCTTTCTGTGTACAATATAAAGTATATCGCGTACTAAAATAACGATAGAAAATTGATCTGAACTTTTTACGTGGATCATCATTTCGTAGGTTATGCTTTGAAATTTTGTTTGTGGATTCTCTTCATGTCAAAGAACTTTAAAAATAATTTAACAACTGTAATTTATAATTGTCAGTCATAGAAAATACTTCGCTCCTCTTTACTCAATGATATTATAAACTAAACAGAAATTACTTGACAACTCCTTAAGTGTTAAGCGACTGAAAATTATGAGACTGGCTAAAACAGCATAACATGTATTAAAAATATTTCCTTTTTTCGAAATTTATAAAGATCGTGAACACAGAGATTGAGTGATAGTTGTGACAAGATAATTCAGTCAGTCAGTCACAATGTAGAACTTCGTACGTACGTACATCAGTTGCCATACCACATTAGCACAGAGATGCAGTTGTCGATTCAAATCCCATAGTGGTAGAAGTAGTAGGAGTATAATCAGAAATCCAAAAGATTAGGGTTTGAAGAAATTATTGAAGGAGTATAGTACAGTGAAATAAATTTGGAAAGAGAAAAAGATAAAGACATGAGGAATTCAGAAGATTAGAATTTGGTAGAACACAAAGAGTGGATGCACCTTCGCCATTGCAAACGATTTTGAGCCATGTCATTCAAGGTCTCTAACCATCGGTTGCTGTCATCTCGCGAATCCCAACCAGGTAGTCTACACCTACCAACATGGCCCAGTCCACTTGTCAGTGACTTCATTGATTTGTGCCACGTTTTGGTCTGGCCACCCCTAGCTTTCTTCCAACCTACTCCTACACCATGAAACATTGCACGTCGGGGCAGTCGGTGGTCGGGCATACGTAACACATGTCCCAGCCATCTCAACTGATGAAGTTTCACTACTTCATCAATCGATTTGCCATCCCTACCTAGTACTCGTTTCCTAACAACTGCATTACTTACCCGGTGGTCCCAGGATATACGAGCAATGCTTCGAAGACACCTATGATCGAACACTAGTAGCCTACGAATATCCTCTACTCTTATTGGCCATGTTTCACTGCCATAAAGTAGGACGGAGCGAACTGCTGCAAAGTAAACCCGTCCTTTTGTTGATAGACGGATATCTCGCCTACACCATAAATGACGCAAGTTGGCGAAAGCTAGACGAGCCTTCTGTATCCGTGCTGAGATTTCGTCACATACCAGACCACAAGGGCTGATGAGACTCCCAAGATAAGTGAAGTGGTCTACACGCTCAACTACTTCACTCCCTATCATTAGTTCAGGTGTCGCTGCAACCCAATCCTGAAGTAACATTTTGCACTTCCAGGGAGAGAATCGCATCCCGAACATGCCTGCATAGTTGCTTATAGTGATCAGAAGACTCTGCATGTTGTCAGCGTCTTCACCGAGTAAAACTATGTCGTCGGCGTATTCTAAGTCAACAAGTGAATCTCCCGGTAAAAGTTCAACTCCTGGAGGTTTAGCTGATGAAAGTGCTATCTCTAAAAGTATGTCAATGACAAAGTTAAACAAGAATGGGGAGAGTGGACAGCCCTGACGAAGGCAACTTGTGGTAATCAGTTCTGATGACAGTTCGCCATAGGCTCTAACTCGACCAGTTGTGTTCGAGTAGAGAGCCTTTATGAGGTTAATGTACTTCTTTGGTACTCCTTTCAGTGACAAACACTGCCATAGAACCTCACGATCAACGGAGTCAAATGCCGCCTTAAGGTCAAGAAATACTACTATTGTGGAACGTCTGAATTTGTGTCTGTGTTCTAGGACCTGACGTAGGGTGAATATCTGGTCTATGCAACCACGTCCAGGTCGAAAACCTGCCTGTTTTTCTCTAGTGTGCTCTTCACGAGCTTTGGTTAGGCGACCTAGTATTATTGAAGCTAATATTTTAGACACTATATTAGTCAAACTGTTCCCTCTGTGATTGTGACAGGAGGACTTTTGTCCTTTCTTATAGACTGGCACAATCAGTGATTGGGACCAGTCAGATGGAATTACGTCCAGTTCCCAGACTCTACCTAAGACCTCAGTCAATCTCACTGCTAGTACTGGACCACCATCCTTAAAAATCTCAGGCGTAAACCTGTCAGGGCCTGCTGCTCTCCCTCGCTTCAGATTTCCTATAGCTTTTTCAACCTCACAGAGGGTTGGAGGACTTACATCAATTTGCCATTCAGGACGACTGGTGATCGTGGGTAATTGAAGTGTGGCTGAAGGCCAGTTGAACTGATCCCTAAAGTGTTCTGCCCATCGATCCAATCTCCTGGATTGAGAATGAATTATATGCCCATCTTTATCTGAGATGGTTTCACTGATATTCGGGTTCCTAATACCGGTTTCTTTAATAAGTCTGAATAGCTGCCTACTGTTACCTATTGCCGCTGCCTTTTCCATCTCTCTTGCTTTCGCTAATTGGATTGTTGTGTGGGTAAAAGCCAAGATTAGACAAAAATAAGGCAAAATAAAGTGTCCTTCAGCGTTTAGAATAAAGTTAAAGATAAATACAACAGCAGATAATTGTAGCTTCGTGATATTAATGTCACCCAAATTATCATGTCACATAGTAGCACTATCTTCAAGATCATTTTATTATCGGTTGTCATCAGTTGAGAAGTTTCTTTCTCTATAAGATTTTATGATACGAAAATCCCTCCTAATAAGAATCAAGTAATTTTCGTTTGTTGTTTATCTGTAGCATTTTGTCTTCAAGTACCTCTATCAGTTTTTCCTTTCCTGTAGTTTGTTTCAGCCTTCCTTCCTTTTCAGCTCTTAGCAATTTAATATCTGCCTACAAAACATAGTCTCTGATATCTTAAAACCATGCTCCATCTCACGTTGAAACTTCAAAATTTTTACCTAATCGCTCAAAATACATCAGCAGACGAAACTAGAATATATGTGAGCACAATAATGTGTTTTATCTAATTATTTTAAGACAATCCCTCATATAGTGTATGGAGAACTGTTTTACATTAGATCTCACCTAGCCTTCATTTATGGGTTGCTCGGTCAAAAAGTTTAAAAAACTAGGATGAACAACAAAAATATCGTTGTTTATTTCTACTTTTTATTTGCTTACCTGGTTGCAGCTCTGGTGGCTTAAATACTACTTTTCATTATCAGCCGATAGTGTGCGTCGATTTTATGACCATCTAATGCGTCTTTCATCCGATTCAGCAGCACTCTGTTGAAAACTTTTCCTGGTACTGATAACAAACTGATGCCTCTGTAGTTCTCACATTGGCTCAGATCTCCTTTCTTTGGTATCTTGATGAGATATCCTTCTTTCCAGTCCGTTGGCACTTGTTCCTCTTCCCAAATCTTTTTGAATAGAAGGTGAAGCATGTTTGCAGTTATTTCAATGTCTGACTTCAGTGCTTCTGCTGGTATATTGTCAGGTCCTGCCGCCTTCCCACTTTTGATTTGTCTGATGGCCATCTTGACTTCTTCGATCGTTGGTGGGGTGACAGATATAGGAAGGTCAGTGTGTGCTGCTTCGATGTCCGGTGAATTCAATAGAGCTGGCCTATTCAGCAGTCCCTCGAAGTATTCTGCCCATCTTTTTCTCTGTTCTTGAATCTCCGTGGATATCTTTCCTTCTTTGTCCTTGACTGGTCTCTCCGGTTTGCTATATCTCCCTGCTAGTTTCTTCGTTGTATCATATAGTTGTTTCATGTTCCCTTCCCTTGCAGCTTTCTCTGCCGTCGTTGCTAGTTCTCCCATGTATTTCTGCTTGTCGGCTTTAATGCTTTTCTTCACTTCTCTGTTTGCTTCTGCGTACTCTGCTTGCGCCTTGACTTTCTCTGCTCGCGTTCGGCTGTTGTTAATTGCTGTCTTCTTGTTCTTCCTTTCTTGAATCTTTTCCAGGGTTCCCAGAACCTCCTGACACGTTGAAGTTAGTGCTTCTTTTATCCTTTTCCAGTTGTCCTCCATCGTAGTTTCTTGTTCTTTCAGTAGATACTGTAGAGCTTGGAACCTGTTGTTGAGAGTTATCTTGAATTCGTTGAGCTTGTTAGTATCTCGAAGGAAGGTTGTATTGAACCTTTGTAATGCTGTTTCCCCAGTTGTTCAGTGTTTCTTTAACTTCAGTCTCATCTTGGCCACAACCAGGTGGTGATCTGAAGCTATGTCAGCTCCTCTCCTGGTTCTCACATCTTCCATTGTCCTTCTGAATATTTTGTTGAAACAAATCTGATCTATTTGGTTCTCTGTGGTGTGGTTCGGTGAGATCCATGTAGCTTTGTGTATGCGTTTGTGTGGAAATATTGTGCCGCCTATAACTAATTTGTTGGATGCACATAGATTTGCAAATCTCTCCCCATTCTCATTTCTCTCTCCTAGTCCATGTCGTCTAATTATGTCTTCACATTCTGTGCTGTCCACTCCGACTTTAGCGTTTAGATCTCCCATCAGGATAGTGAGGTCCTTTCTTGAGCACTTAGCTATAATTGATTGCAGCCTTTCATAGAACTGATCTTTATCGTCATCTTTGCTATCATTGGTAGGTGCATAACATTCATTTTGATCCCCTCCTTCTTTGTTTTGAATGATGCATTGATAATTATGGATCCATGAGATTCCCATTCTATAAGTGCTATTCGTGCTTGTTTGGACAGCATCAGAGCAACTCCTTGATTGTGTGAAGCATTTTCCTCTTCGTGACCAGAGTACAGTAACATTTCTCCCATATTTAGCCTTTGCTGTCCAGCTTGTGTCCAATGAGTTGCGCTGATTCCAAGTACTGCCAATTTGTATCTCCTCATTTCCATTGCTATTTGACTGGTCTTCACGGTATCCCACATTGTCCGGACGTTCCATGTTCCTATAAAATTTGTTGCTCTGGTTGTTAGAAGGTGCATCGGTCTCGTGACTTCCGAAGACTTTCGGCTTTCATCATGAGGCGTCATAATTCTTCCTTCAACTTGGAGGGCAGAGTTTAAATGGTTTGAATAATTTTTTCTGGTTAGAGTTTTTTAGCGATTTAGTTTTTCTACGGGATGGGGTCGCTAACCCCCCGCCTAATCCTCCTCCTTTTTATGGGCTTGGGACCGGCAGTAACTCTAGAAGAACTACAGGCGGAGTTTTCCATCCCATACACATAAGCAAATGCAGATGAAGACAACCAGTGTAGCAGATGCCTCTGTATCAGTAGGCCTCAACACACATTAGGGCAAAAGCAAGATCCTCAAATACAATACGGAGAACACCAACCCAGTCACACTTGGTGGCGAAACTCTGGAAGAGGTGGAAACGTTCACGTACCTGGACAGCATCATCGATGAACTAGGAGGATCTGATGCAAATGTAAAGGCAAGGATTGGCAAAGCAAGGATAGCACTTCTACACTTGAATAACATATGGAACTCAAAACAACTGTCAACTAATATCAAGGTGAGAATCTTCAATATGAATGTCAAGACAGTTCTACTGTACGGTGCTGATACTTATAGAACTAACACAACTATCATCAAAATGGTACAAGTATTTCTAAACAATTTTCTGTGCAAGATACTTACTGTCCGTTTGCCGGATACCATCAGCAACAATTTATTATGATGAAAAACAAACTAACTTCCAGGTGAAGAGGAAATTCGGTGAGTAGAACATACATTGGGGAAATCACTAACCTGTATCACGAGGCAAGCGCTAACTTGGAATCGTAATGTTAAACGGAAAAGAGGAAAACGAAAGAACACATTTCATCGGGAATTGGAAACAGCTGGAAAGGATTGCCCAGGACAGAGTTAGATAAAGAATTCTGGTGGGCAGTCTATGTTCCTCTATAATGCGTAACAGACGTTAGTAAGTAAAGCCATATGACGGAACTACTGTAACAAGGATTATACATCCCTCAATATTTTAGGTGTTTGATTTCTATAAAAAAATACTATGAAATACTGTAAAGTGTACCATAGGTGATCAAACATTGTAGTAGTCATTATCTCTAGTTATGGTTACAAAGTTGAGAAAATTATCTTGGAAGATCGTCGAATCTCGGTCTGATAATTTCTGAAACACTTATTATTATTATTATTATTATCATTATGGATGACCACCTTTGCCATACATCCGTCGTACGGTCTCTAAAATGAACACTTAACAACCTCACCAAGTTATTAACCACTGTTCACTGAAACTCCATAAGTCGTACAAACTGTCTCAACAGTTGGAGAACTTGACTTCTAAACGGTCCCAGTTTTGGATAAGTTTGACATGAACGACTTAGTAGTATCATTAAACATCACTCTAAAATTGTGGCTGAAACCCAAGGTTATGGACCTGCTGTTAGTGACTGACCTCCATAACAAATTTATTAAGAATTCATGTGGTTGTAGTATAATGAGTTGTCAGGTGGATTAAAAACAACCAAGAATGTCAGCTACCATTGTTCACTGTCACTACTTTTATTTAACAGTGATATAAACATTGCTGTCGGTAATGTTTTAAAGCGTTAAGTTCTTCTAGCTGGGACTAAACTGTTTAGTGGAAACGCTGCTGTGGTGTACTATTCACAGCAAATGAGCCATAAATTTAATTGTTCGATACAAGCTTATACTCACGCGTGAAATTAGTAGGCTAAATGGTCATTCGTTCTCAAAATATGTATATTTAAGATCTAGACTTTTTTCGAGGAAGATACTAGATTGAATTGCTTGCTACCTTCTTCCAGAATACCGATGAACGTTTCCGGAGTATTAGAGCATAAGTTTTACAGTCTATTTTTAATAAAGATTTTATTTGTATTATTCTTTAAGTTCTTCGTGTAGTTGTTAATTAAAAGTTTTTTAAACGTTTGTACGTATTTCTTCTCCTTTAATTTCTGTTGAATGCTCTATTGCTTATTTCGTCAGTTTCATCTAGATATCTTTTTTCAATTTTTTAAACTTTTTCCTGTGTTTAAACTTGACTCATTCTATTTGCAATACGTGACTGATTCTGGCTCATGTGAATAAGTATGCAAAAATAAATTTTTTAACGTCCGGTAAAGCCTAATATTTGAAATAATCCATTAAATCATATCATCACTTTGCTTTCACTTCAGTATAACAAAGATCTGTTATAAATATTCAAAGGCGTAACGTAAATTGTGTATGCACTTCTTATTTACCTCTGGATATACATATCTGGTAACAAATGTTCATTTTATATTCAGCAAAGTTCTGTAGTAGCGTCTCTTAATTTTTTGAAACTAGAAAGTGCATCAGTAAGCGTAAAGTAACGGAGCAGTTGAAACTTTACTTTTCTTTAGCCATAATGCTTGTTTATCGATGTGTTTGTACCTACTGCTCTTATTTTCATAACGCATCATTGTTTAGTTACTCTGACTTTACCTGTCATTCGTCACCTTGATTCGTAGAGCGATAGTTTCACGGCTAAAGTACCTAGCTGTCAGCTTGTACTTCTCAAGTTCTAATCCTTCTTCACTTTAGTTTGGCTCGGGAAAGCTTAAGGTCATTAACAAAACATTAAGGTGTTGGTTTTAAGGTATACCCCTGATGTAACTGCATATACTCTTGATTGAATAGTATCTCGTTAGTGTTTTTAATGTTTACTATATTGTTTTTTCGTAACTTTTTATTGCTCGAAGTCTGTCACACTTCCAATGCTATTACAACATGAAGGTCACAGTCGTGTAGTTATCGGTGTCGAAGTAAGTATTTATTTCATAATGTTTTATGGGATCGTTTTTTAGTGTTGTATGGGATTATAATTTTGTTTAATGATTTATGTAGCATCGTTGATATATATATATATATATATATATATATATATTGATATTATTTATCATTTTGTGACTGTCATTGTCCTTTTAAAGATTGTAAGTACTAAGCCCTCCTGTGTGATAAAAGTGTAAGGGAAAAGCAATTTACTCTTAAATTTTTAGGATTTGACCTTAAATTTTCTTTTACTTCCTAGTTTTTTTTTAATTTTCACAATATTTAATGTATAAATAAGTAACCCTATGTGTCACCAATAGAAACTTTTAGGAAGTGTTATTAGAATATTCTGAGAGTTTCCATCCATAAGCCAAACGATCAATTTTTGAAAATTCAGACCACAAGTTATCTCATGCCCCAAATGCCCTGGTACGGCCGAGAGTGGGGAGAATCCGCTCTCCCTCTCGAAATGCTCTCACACGGCCAGCGAATATGTAGCCTCTGCCAGGGAAGTCCTACTCACTGCCTTCTCGTGGCGGGGGTGTTGTTTACGAAATTGAGAGGACGAAAAGAGAATGTCCGGCGCTTTAACCGGGTTGGTGGACAAGGCGAGTCCACCTAGGGGAGTTGGAAAACCCTGATTCCAAACCAATGGTGCACATGGGCTCCAGGATCCTGAAGGAACAAATGGCGAATGAACCAGCTATTGGTCACCGGCTACCATGGGACTGCATCTCCTCACGATGCTCCACTGCCTTGTGGGTTAGACCTCTAGGCCAAAGGCTCGGGGTGTGGCCTCCTAAGAAAACTACCTGCTTCAGTCTGGGCACCTGGGCAGTATCACAGCCCTCACACAAATCGAGTGAGATTTGTGCGGCGCATATTTATCTGGTGCTTTCTTGTACCAATATTTATGTGTTTAAATAAATAAATAAAATATCTCATGTACTTCATTATTTTTTAAGTATTAATTTTCGCCTCTTTTCGTTTTATTTTTTCAGGAAATCAGTAAACCTTTAAGTATTAATCCTTTAACTGTTCTTTTTTTTAGGTTGATGAAGATGACAAACCGTTAGCTCTCATTGTTCTAGATCCTGATGTATCGGCTGAAGCTATGCGTCAAGTTATCAAAGCAGCTGATTATTCTATATCTAGTCCGAGTATAGATTTATCTCATCTTTCTTTCGGATCATATAATTGGATGGATGTTTTAGGAAGTATGCGTGTAGATATGGCTCAGTTAGTTCAACCTCAGTATCAACTGCTTCAAATTAATGGATTGATAGAAACGGATTTGGATTTACAGGTATGAATGCATTTCTTACTGGGTGCTTTACTTGTGTAACATTATACACTGCTTACTATTGTCTACTTAAATTTTCCAATTGACCGGAAACCTTATTCCTTGATTTCTGATCACATTGGTGTTTTTAAGATATGTAAGACCTGTAAAACTAAAGGGAAAAATATAAAATTACATGGGTCCCCCAAAGAAACAACAGACAAATTTTGAGTTACTGTCATTTTTTATTAAAGCTTACATTCCTAATACGTTTTGGGGGCAGTTTTAGGTTTTCTTTCTCCTAGTGCCTGATAGTTTTTCGGAATAGTTTTGAGACGGCAATTCAGAACTCATGTTTTACTGTCTTTTTATCCTCAGTGAAAAGATTAAAAAAACGGTTTTATCTGTCAACGATATATACTGGGTCTTAGATATGCTCATTATTAATACAGAATCATAATAGCTCTGCGTCCAGAACTAACTTCTGCGATTGAGTCATAAAACCCGTATTTCAGTTTTAAATATATATATATAAACCATAATTTTTCTTTTTTAGGACGCTATGGTTCCGGAAAATGTTACAGTTGCGATCTCATAAAGAAAATGGTTTGGAAATGTTACGTTACTTTTTATGTAAACCCCATTCTTAAAATCCTTTCTTGGATATTAGTAATTTCCATCCATATACTTTACCGTTTTTCACATTCTTTCTGCATCGTATTACTTTCATTCTTACATAAACGTTTTGTGTTTCTTAGGTTTATTTTTATACATGCTTCTAACTAATCTCACGACACTTCGCCACCATAGGCACGATTGCTTTTGTTCCTAACTACCCCATTGCTTTCACTTCTATTTCACGTATTCGTTTCTATGCCCGTTTCTTTATCTTTCTACAGTGTGAAACTTAATGAAAAGCTATGATAAATTTGCGTACTATCTTTCTATTCGCGCTTTCATGTTTCATCCTTTTTTAGGATGAAATGGTTTCAAAAATAATAAATACATTGTGTTGTATACGTACTCTTTATTTCTTTGGCAGTTGTCTATTTGTTGCAGACTATTATAAATATAACAAGAACAGTATTTATATATGCTTTGACGTGGCTCATGTGGATTACTACGGTTTATCGATTGCCTTAACACGCCTCCATCTTATTATTGGAATGACATTAGTTTGGTTAGCAACAGTCCATTATGTAAGACAAATTCGGTCCACCAAACGTACGAGAGATTATTTTAAAAAAAGTACTGTAACACGTTTTAAAGTCGAACTTCATCCTCGTCACCATCGGGCTTGCCATGGATCTGACTTATTTGTCAAAATTGTAAACGGGATGATGATCAATACGTGATGGGTACCGGTACCATTTATTTCAATGCTAACAAGATCAAATTATACCAAGAGGTCTTTAAGTAAAATGATTTCAAGAACAGTTCGACCGGCTAGCGAGTTCAACGTTGAAATAGTAGAGACCCATGATTCGAGAATGTGCACGAACTGGAAAATGGATAAATGTTATTTAGAGCATACAAGTATATGGTGTAAATTGGTATTTATTCAATAATTTTCAAAGAATTGAAATGCTATTGCGTCATAAACTGTTTACAAAAGTCTAACATTGAATGGGAGTTGTATAATAATCTAAAGGTTAATAAAAAGTGTTGATGTGAAGATAATTATCCGGTTGTTAAATCCTAAGAACAGAATAATTAGAAGTCGCAATAATGGCTTATTGTTAGTTGTGGAAACTAATTATTAGGGAGTGGAAAAGACGATAAACTGTGGAGGATAGAAAGTAAGACTGAGATTGGTAGGATAGTGAGCGGGACATACCTTTATACACAAAGGTAGGGCTTGAGTTAGTGAATAGCTATGGTCACCACTATGCACAAGTTTTTCACTTTTTTTAACCGATCTTTGTGATCGTGAATGGTTTGGAAGGCTGAGTGGCTAGTACCAACTAGATGTTCCAGGATTGACTTCTGTAGTCCTTTAGATGATCAGGTGGGGTAATATTCTGCAATGCTCTTTCGAAAGGAGTCGGATTATGCGACCAGTAAAACCTGCTCCACATCAGAAGGTTACGCGATAGGTCCTCGTTGAGGTGGACCGAAATGAGAGCTTGTCTTTCACACAACTACGAATCAAATGCCGACCCGAAAAGACGATATGAAGTCTAACTTAATGGAGTGATTTCGAGAATATCTGCCACGGTATATTTTTAGACTAAACGTCCATAAGTAGAGTCTTATTTGGTACTATGTAGACACACTGTTATTCTGGTCCCAGAATTCTATCAACGAATCTAGATGGATATGTATTGTTGGTCGTTACCTTCTTTAGTCTATCAAGTTTGACATCAGTGGTATACTGGGTTCAGATTTTTCTACTCCTCGTGTACAGAGAAGGGGTAAGGTTTCTAGCTTGCTTCAGTGGCAACCAACTTTGGAGATTCGTCTACTAGTCATTTCAGGTTGGCTTTATATATATATCATTGTAGTGAACTTCTTGGTCTCTTTAACAAAATACTTTGGAAGCGGAAATCTGATTCTGCTGTAAACTTAATTGATTGATGGCAAATACTGAACTTACCCAGGGTGTTGAAACGGGTATTTTTGTCACAAATAACCAAATTCTCTTGCATAAATCGAAACTGCCAACTATTATTCTAAGTATTGTTAGCTAGGATGGGTGGAGACCATATCTCCACACCATCATTCTATCTATAAATTTCGTATAGTTTAAATTTGGTGTCGTGGGAGATACAAATGTGAAAACAGAGGTCACGTTTAATGGCATCATTTTCAGGTTACATTGACGCAGAAAACTTATTTAGCATTGGAGTATCTACTTAGTTGATTTCCGAATGGTTGTAGAATTTAAGCCAACCATTTAGTAATCCCACAATGTCGCAACTTATTCATGTCAAATAAACGGCGCAAAAAATTTTTTATATTGTTGGGAGGTTATATAAACGTGGAACAATGAATCCAGTTGGCCTAATTTGTTCCAAGAGATTTTCACTAGTAATCTTTTTGAAGTGATTTCTGCTCAGTTTGTTCTGTGTCATCTCGAAATTTTTATCTAAGAAACTTGTTGGTATCAAACAGAAACAAGGATGATTTTGAGATTTAATCCTTTTGATTCATGGTGATATTCTCAATACTTTCATTTGGACGACTTAGCACCATATATTTTTTTCTCAATAGATCAAGTAGTTATGACTTATATCCTTTATAGAAAGTAGTTGTAAGATCCATTTCGAAGGCTTTGTGTGTGAAAATCCCTACATGCAAACATTTGCAGCTTTTTCTCATTGGCTTCTTTATTTGAACATTTTATTTCTTAGAGGCAGACGTATTGATTGTTCCCTCTTTGATTGTGTTGCTTGAGTTGACTGGGATCGTGCATTTGGGTTGTGACTTGAAGCACTTTCCCAGAATCGGAAACACTTTGTGCTATGAAGCAACAAACTATTATCTTTTGAACGGATTTTTGCTTGATCTATCCAGGAAGGATAGAATAACACTTATTTTTTGGTGCGTTCGATCAATTATTGTGGGAACAATTATTAGTTGAATAACTGAGTGATATTATCTATTTAGGACCGTTGTTAACTCAATCACTTTGTTCTGATTTCGATTGGAGTCCACGCGTCTCTACGTAAATAGACAGATACTCTTCACCTAAACTTAGTTTGGATTATACAGTAGTGGCAATAATAATGCCAGTAGACTCCATAAAATGGAGTAATCCGAAATAAAGTTCACATCCTATCATTTTCAACTTCCAGTTCTAATGGGTTTCGGATCATGGAGTAAGAAGGGATTTGTGAGCTCGACATCGTTACCGGTAGGTGCTTGCTCAATGGGCTATAAGTGAGGTATTTATGTCTTCTTTCGAGTCCTATGTGCATTATCGGAAGTTCTCTCCGCCGAGGGTTCTAACACTTAGACGAAGAAACTGTTCAGTGCTTCCGGGATTTTATTCGTGGTCTAGAATACATTTGTTCATGATTTCAACAGGATTTTGAACCTTTCAATCGTCGAATAAAAATGCAAACTGCTTCAGTATTATTTTAAACAGCCTTAATGAATGAAAAAACGATGAATCAAAAATTGAACACACGTATAATATAATCAAGGTCGATGATTACTCTCATTGTACTTCAGGATAATCATCTGGATTTCCTGACAAGATTCTGCCAAATGTCGGAAATAAGATATAGGGAAATGCTGAATTTTTGTCCATATTGACACTCTGACATGGTCCAAGGATCAGAGGAGTACAGTAAGTTTCTGACAGTTAGTGCTGGGGAACAGGATAGCATATATATATATATATATATATATATATATATATATATATATATATATATATATATATATATATATATATATAATTTTTACTTACTTTCGCCTGTTACTCTCAATGGAGCATAGGCCGCCGACCAGTATTCTCCAACCCACTCTGTCCTGGGCCTTCTTTTCTAGTTCTATCCAGTTCTTGTTCATTCTTCTCATGTCTGTCTCCATTTCTCGGCGTAATGTGTTCTTTGGTTTTCCTCTTCTCCTTTGACCTTCAGGATTCCATGTGTGGGCTTGTCTTGTGACGCAATCGGGTGATTTCCTCAAAGTGTTCCCTATCCACTTCCAGCGCTTCTTCTTGGTTTCTTCCTCTGCTGGAATCTGATTTGTTGTCTCCCACCGTAACTTCTTGCTGGTGGTGTCTGGCCATCGGATCCGAAGTATCTCGCGTAGACAACTATTAATAAAAACTTGTATCTTCTGGATAATAGCTTTCATAGTTCTCCACGTCTCCGCCCCATACAGTAGTACTGTCTTCACATTTGTATTGAAAATTCTAACCTTGGTGTTGGTTGACAATTGTTTTGAGCTCCAGATGTTTTTCAGTTGTAGGTATGATGCTCTTGCTTTGCCGATCGGCGCCCTCACATCTGCATCTGATCCACCGTGTTCATCAAGGACAACTCACCCACTCATTCGAGGTAAAGACCGGTGTTAGGCAAGGTTGCTTACTCTCACCCTTTCTCTTTCTCCTGGTCATCGACTGGATCATGAAGACGTCAACGACTGGAGGAAAGCATGGGATACAGTGGACAGGCAGGATGCAGCTTGACGATCTAGACTTCGCGGATGATCTGGCTCTTCTATCACAAACGCAACAACAAATGCAGGAGAAAACGACCAGTGTAGCAGCAGCCTCAGCAGCAGTAGGTCTCAATATAAACAAAGAGAAAAGCAAGACTCCGATACAATACAATATGCACCAATCAAATTACACTTGACGGAGAAGCTTTGGAAGATGTGGAAACCTTTACATATCTGGGCAGCATCATTGATGAACACAGTGGATCAGATGCAGATTTGAGGGCGCGGATCGGCAAAGCAAGAGCAGCATACCTATGTGGTGGACCAAAATGTTTGATAACCAAAAAATTAGCAACAAAAATATTATGTCTGTAGTTTATGTAACAATTAACAGTTAATAAGTAATTACACACGAAAATAACAAATTAAGGGACGTTACTTAAGTCTTCAGGCTATTGCGTGTTCGGCTGGGTTTGGTCCAGATACTCCACAATTATAAAAAGATTAATAATCCCAATATGGACGATATAGATCCAGTAGTTTTACCAAGCGTAGAATTCAATAAGAATGTCGCAATTGTCTATAAACGTAGATGGTATGCAATTAATATTTCGTTCAACATATTAGCAGACAGGGCAGAACGATGCAGACGTGAATTAGAGTGTATTTGTTGAGGAGCATTAACAGTGGCACGATATGTTGTACTCAAAACGGAAGGAAGAAGTGTTACAAGCGTTCAAAGTAATACAGTTAAACAACAAGTACAATTGTTTAATGCTTAATGTACAGAATATGAAAATACATGCGAAAACTATGAAAAATTATTTACAAAATAGGTTTTAAGGTTCTATCTCCACATAGCTCCCCCAAGAGTGTCCGGAGGTAACACTGATTACAATATGAACAACAAAAATTGAGAAATATTGTATACAAATGTACATAAAGTAGTATTTACTGTAATAACGGAAAAA